CTCTCTCTCTCTCTCTCTCTCTCTCTCTCTCTCTCAAATAATAAATAAAAAAAATAAAAAAAAATTTGAAAAAAAAAAATAGTTTAATTGATCTGTGGAGCTAGGATGTGTAAGAGAGAAAACACCTCAGGCACAGCTGGACCCAGGAAGCTAACACTGTCAGGGATCTGTCTGTCTCTTGTCACTAGTTGTCAGGTGAGCTCCCCGACAGGAATAAATCATATCATTGGGTATGTATTGACTCCTCCCTTTGGGCTGAGCACTATTCAAAGCACTTTATATTAACTCAGTTATTCCCTCAACCTGGGATACATACTTCATTAAGGTGAGGCCAAAGTCAATGCAAAGAATTAAGCAGCTTGCTCGAGGTCACCCAGTCAGTAAGTGATTCAAATCCATTCTAACATAGACCTTTCACAGATAGCTAGATAGCTAGAAGCCGCCTGGGGTTAACATCATCCTGTGAACAAATAAACCATCCTCCACAATGACACACAGTACAACTGTCCATTTCCCCCAGAACAGCCCTACCTGGCCCTGCCTGCTCCTACCAGCTCCTTACCCTCTGTGAACCAGTGGGCTGGGCCGCATGGGTCTGAGCCCCTCCATTGCCCTGGCTGAGGTTTGCCCACTTCTATAGTAGAGCATGAGGCTTTGTGGGCAGGACAGAGAAGTTGGGAAGGGGCACCAGACAGGAACCAGCAGTGACAGATGTCTACTCCTACATTTGGCTTCTCTGAGCTCTGGAAAGCTGTGAAAGAGCCAAAAGGTACCTGATCACAGGGAGAGCCCTGAGGACTCAGTGGCACTGATGCCAGGGCTGTGCGCCAGCACCTGCACAGAGCGAAGGGCGCCCCAAGATATGTTAGAGGGTTCCTGTCCTCAGGCTGCTCCTGGCTAGGGTCAGAGGCCCAGAAATGGAGAGCAGTATGGAATGCGAGCAGTGTGGAATGCAGGCAGTATAAGTAGTATGATCAAATTATAGAGGGAATGCTTAAGTTTAAAAAAATATATGTAATAGTAAAAGGCATTGCCATTAATCACCCTCAAAATACTCCCCTTCACACTCATCCCACCTTTCCTGCCGCTTTCTGAGGCAGTTCTGGAAATACACTTTCATGAGTGGCTTTTCAAGGTGTAATTTTAAAATGTGGCAGATGCCGCTGCCCAGTGCACCCAATGGAAAGGCAGACTCGTAAAGCATTTCAGTGTGTTCTCACTCGCCTTATTTACCAGTTCTGGTACTGTTCAGCATCTGGCTCTTCCCCAAAGTCAAAATGACTGTGATAGGTAAATATTTGAATCAAACCAGGACATTGAGACCACCACTAAATAGCTCAGATAAAGACATAAAAGAACTGTTACAGATGGTAGGAACCATGGGATAAGTGTTATTAGGGGAATGAGTGGCAATGTGTATAGTACTGTAATTTTTTTTTGGGGGGGGGACAGCTCAGCCTGCCCTGGGGGTGGGGCTGGTGTAGCATGTAGTACTAAGATCAAACTGCGGTTTCTGCACCTGCCTAAGCTTGCTAAACAGGCGCTTTAGACCTCTGAACTATCTTGCCGGCCCCTGTAATCTATTTTTTTTAATCTTTTATTTACTTATTTATTTATTTGGTACAGGGTCTCATTACATAGCTCAGACTCATAGTGATCCTCCTGTATCCTGTAATCCTCAGCCTCCCCAGCTCTGAAATTACAGGCGTGCACCACCATACCCAGTTTTGGGGCTGACATGGCATGCAGTGCTAGGAATCAAACCCAGGACCTTTCGCTTGCCAGGCAGGCATTTAGACCACTGATCTATCTCCTCAGTCCTAATCCTTTTTTTTCTTTTTCATCCCCTTTTTCTTTTTTCTTTTTTCATTTACATATTTAGTATAGGGTTTCACTGTGCAGCTGGAACTTGTGGTGATCCTCCTGTTTTCAACCTCCCTAGCACTGGGATTACAGGCATGCACCATTATGCCTGTACTCAGCCGCCAGCTCAGTATGCCCCAGGGGCAGGGCCAGCACTGCATGCTGGACCAGGGATCGAACCCTGGTCTCTGCGCTTACCAAAGTAGGCGCTTAGTCCACTGAGCTATCTTGTCCTCCCTTTTTTATTTTTTTATTTTTTGGAAAGGTTAAAATTTGTAATTTTTTTGTATTTTAATAATTTTATTGAGAAAGAAGCAGCAATGAGATAGTTTCAAAACGGGTTAGTAGTACAGTTACAATAATACATTGCATATTGTTGTCTTTGTAGTAGTTGTTCCTAGTACAAGATACAGACATGGTGTTTTGTCTAAGCCCCCCTCCCTTTTTTTTTTTTTTTTTTTTTGGTGGTGGAACAGGGGATTGAACTCAGGCCCTTGCGCTTACCAGGGAAGCACTTATTCCACTAAGCCATCTCCCCGCCGCCCCCTTTTTTTAAAATTTAAACATTTACTCTATTGTTTGATCATGCCTGTTAAATGCTGACATTGCATAGTAGGCACAAAGCAAGAGTGTCCTTGTAGGCAGCGAGCGCTGGGCAAAGATTCCCAGAGACGTGATGCTTGAACTCAGTCTAGAAGCCTGACTAGAAGGGCATCCATGGGCCAGATGAGGAGGGGCACCCCAGGTGGGGAGTGAGGCTTGTGCAAAGGTAGGATGACTGGGGAAAAAAGGACCAAGGAGATAGCTCGGTGGCATAAGTGCCTGCCTGGCAAGCGAAAGGTCCCAAGTTTGATCCCCGGTACTGAAAAAAGAAAGGTAGGATGACAGGACCAGGCTCAGCACCATAAGAGAACCAACAGACCCAAGGCAGCTCTGTGATGCTTGGTCCCCAGTAGGCATGAGAGAAAGCAAGATGAGCTGGAGAGGTCAGCTACACTGGGCTAGAAGAGACGCAAGTGCAGCCAGTTAGATGGGTCCTGACAGAGAATGAAGTAGAGGGTAATGTGACCAGAGGGGTGTGGTACAGAGAAGGCCAGGCAGTGGAGGAAGTAAGCTAGTGAGCAGCTGGGCGCATAGTTCAGGCTTCAGTGAAGAGGATCAGAGTGAGATGGCACGCAGGACTGGAGCACAGGGGGCAGGTTCAGAGCTTCAGGAAGGGGACTCAGTGGTACTCTAGCTCGGTGGGGGGAGGGGGGTAAAGGACCTGCCTGGCCTGCTGGTGAGGGAGGCCTGAGGGGTGTGGAGGCCACCACAGGCATTCCGTGGAGAAAAGGCACATAGTCTAAGCAAGGTGCCAGTCAGGGAGGATGAGGATTTCATAATCATGAGCACACTAGTTAACTTAGTTGTCAGTACACAGTTCATAAAGACTGTCATTAACCCAGCTTTTCACTAAACACTGTGAGCAATAATAAGCAAAAGCCTGAGGCTCTGGACACAGCAGTGAGCACCGTCTCTTCCGTACAGGGGAGTGGGAGTGCCAGCACACTCCCTATCCAGATTTTGGTCATGTTCCATGTTCCTGAGTGGCTGGCTGCACCCTGGGCCAGATTTTTTTCCATCTGGGTCAGAAAGTGTAGATATTTAGGAAACACTCAGAACCTTTCTGAGGCAGCATGGGCCCGAAGGAAGCAGTGGCCTGGCGAGCATCTGCAAATCCTCTGTCCTGCTCTGCCTTGTGGCATTAAGCCTCAGTTTCCTCTTCTCTAAAATAGAAAGCACTGGGGCTGCTTTGCCTATTTCAACAGACTCTTGTGCACGCAGCTCGGCTAGAGCTAGATATGCAATGTCTTCCAAGTGCTACCCGCTTGGGTACATTAGACCAGGAGTTGACAAACTCTTTTCTGAGAGGGCTAAGTAGTTAAATATTTTAGTTTTTGTCCAAGGCAGGGACAGTGGCTTGGGGGAGGGGCAATTTTTGGAATATAAATTTTTTTATTTTTGGAATGCAAATTTAGGACTTTCTAAAAAGGTGCACGCAGATTCTGATATACTTAAATTAGCCCTAACCTAAACATGTCTTCATTCCTTTTCTTTCCTGTGAGCCCTTTTCTTCATCTCCCTTCCTCTCCTAACTCTCTCCCACCATCATTGTCCTTTCCTGCCTTTCTCCATTTCTTCGGCATGAGAACCATATAGACAGGAGCACCCCTCTAGTGTTCTTTTTTTTTTTTTTTTTTTTTTTTTTTACGGAACCGGGGATTGAACTCAGGCCCTTGTGCTTGCCAGACAAGTACTTATTCTACTGAGCTATCTTCCCATAACACCCCCTTTTTTTTTGGTGTTCTTCTGATGACCATAAAGTCCATGTTGACCCATATGTGCCAACATTTCATCCTACGTATCTAAAAAAACATTGTTTCTCCAAAACTTCAGATTCCAGCCATTTCCAAATACAGTATGGGCTGTATTTTTTTATTTTTTATTTTTTGGCTTCTGTTATAGCAGATGTTTTGAAGGAAATTTTTACACTGGCTTCTAGCTATTCTAGAAGTCATATCCAGAAGAGACTATTTTTTTTCTCCTTCAGTTGGTTGTTAAAAAGTTTCAAAAAAAGTCTTTCAAACTGATCTTTTCAAACACACCTAACTATAAGTCACACATTTCTTTCTTTTTTAATATTTTCTTTAGGGGCTGGTGAGATGGCTCAGTGGTCTAAAGCACCTACTTGGAACAAGCTTGGCAAAGCACAGGGACCGCGGTTCAATCCCCCAGCACCACATGCCAGCCAGCCCCGCCCCCTGGTGGGCTGAGCTGGACACACACACACACACACACACACACACACACACACAAAAATAAATAAATGTTTTTTTTTTTAAAATGTAAACACAGAAATATATTTTAAAAATATTTTATTTATGTATTTGGTACAGGGTCTTGCTGTGCAGCTTGGACTTGTAGTGATCCTCCTATATCAGCCTCCCTAGTGCTGGGATTACAGGTGTGCACCACCACAGTTTCGGTGGCCAGCTTGACACCCCCAGGTGCGGGGGCTGGCACGGCATGCAGTACCCAGAATCAAACGTGGGTTCTTAAGCTTTCCCGGCAGGCACTTAGACCACCGAGCTATCTCCCATCAGATTTCAATAAGCATTTTCAAGACTGTTGACAACTTGAATTTCTTTGGTGTTACTAAACTACCATAACCATCACTCGGAGATTTTGTATTTCTAGTGCAGTATTTTCTTCCTTTTATACGAAACATGAAGATCCCAATTTTGTATGACTCCATTACTTTCAATGTGAGAAACTAAAAATGCCAAGTATGCGCTTTTCCTTTTCTGTACAAAGTCTGGGGAAATGTAAGAACTTTCACTTTTATTTGGAGTTTTCGTTGTTTTGTTTGTTTTTGAGACGAGGTCTCACTAAGCAGTTTAGGCTGGCCTTGAACTCACTCTGTAGCCCAAGCTGCTCTCAAACTTGCCCTGATCTTCCTGCCTCAGCTTCTCCAGTGCTGGGGTTACAGGTGAGTGCCACCACAGCTGGCAGAGCTGCAGTTTTTAAGCAGGTCTCTCCAACTCCACGATTTCTACTTAACTCTGAAAGCCTTTGTAACTGACCATGAATGCTGTCCCTTCCTGCCCAGGCGCTCTTGAGAGTAGGTTTAGGGACTTCTAAGCCCCAGGAATCCATGTCAAGGACAGGCTCCCTTTGCTGTCCCATAAAGGGAATTAGAAATCACTCTTCACTTCAGGCATGGAAAGTCCCACTCTAAGCCTTTGGCCCTGAGAACAGTAAATAGTAGCTAAAGTGAATGGGGGCGAGGATTATGCAGATTCAAAAGCTAGACTAAGGGAAGGCTTAAAAATGCTGAGGCACTTCCTGGATCCCAAAGGAATCCTTCAGCTTCTTTCTCTGTCTCTTATTCATTTAGCCACAGGCTTACTCTAGGATCGCACATCCTTTAATGGGCGTTGCTCCCTTCCTCTGGAGTTCCCCACCCCTGAAGCCCGGTTCCCCTCCTGCAGCGCAATAGTAGTTAGCACTGCCTGAGCTGATCCTTCCTCCCGCAGTATCCCAGGCGCACAGACCCAGGGCACTGTTAAGAGTCCCAGCAGCTGGGGTAAGTGGGCAACCTAAGAGCTTGGGAAGTCACCCGCAGGCAGCACAGCCATTAGGCCTGGGGCCAGCAAGGCTCCAAGCAGTTTTCCTAAGGTAGCAAGGACACAGTGGAAGCCAGGAAGATCACTGTGAGTTCAAGGCCAGCGTGGGCTACAAATTAAATTCAAGGCCAACCTGAACTGCATAGTGAAACCCTGTATCAAAAAGGACAAAAATAAAATAAACCAGGTGTAGTGGTGCACAGCTGTAATCCCAGCACTCAGGAGGCTGAGGCCTGGAGGATCACCATGAGTTCAAGGCCAACTTAGGCTAATAGTGAATTAAAGGCCAGCTTGGACTATATAGCAAGACCCTGTCTCAAAAAACAAAGCTATTAAAAGATTTCATTTTTCCTCTAAGAATTAACTAAAGTCTGTTGTCCTAGTGCCCATGTACCCAGGAGGGGCCTGGGGTAGGGGTACAGAGGAGCCCGTCCTCACTTCCCTCATCCCCTAACTCAGGAACCTGGCGGACTGAGGCAGTGTTCAGCGAGGAAGCCCTGATTGAAATTCCCAGTGACATCCCTCTTCAGAGCGCTGCCACCCTGGGTGTCAACCCCTGCACAGCCTACAGGATGTTGGTGGACTTCGAGCAACTGCAGCCAGGTAGGAGCCCACAGCTAGAGAAGCAGGCCAGGCTCCCCAGTGGGGTGGCCCACAAGCCCTCAACCCTAAGCCTTGCCACCGAGGGAACAGTCCGGGAGGATGAGTGCCCCGGCCTTGGTGAGTGTGTTATTGCTTTCACTTAGAAAAGTGGTAGCTTGTTTCCTAGAAAACATGTTGAAAGCTCAGGAGGACTATATGCTTGGAAAATGCTAAAAGATCACATTCCCCAGAGCTGGGGATGGAATGCTGTCACTCAGCAAAAAATATGTTGAGCTGTGCTAAACTCTAGGGATACAAAGCCAGACAAGATAGACACAGTCCCTATGTTTTCAGTAAAATGCTGAACTTAGTGTTAATAATTCTGCTCAGCATTTATATCGCACTTTCTGTTCATGCGAGGGCCCCTGCAGGCTTCAACAAAGCAGTACAGTGAGCTTGGTGTCACTGATTAAGAGCTCAAGCCCAAGGCAAAAATGCTCGGTGTGAACCCAAGTTCACTTTTCGCTAACTGTGAATTCTCCACCCACAGCATCCCAAGTTTTCATCAGTAAGATGGAGAAAAGAGGGCTCTGGGAACTAAGGAAACACTGCAGTGTAACCCATAGCCTGGTGCCCAGACCACATAGTGCTATGACTGTCAGCTACTTTTACTAGTCTTCCTTTTATCAATTAAGGAGCAGAGGTCTGGAAAGGTGAACTATTTGCCTGAAGTCACTTAGCAAAGTAAATGACAAAGCCAGGTGTCTTCTTAGGATTCCTCAGAAAGCAGAGCCTGAGACCAGAAGTGGGAATAGGCAAGTCGTTTGGGTCGAGGTCCCAGGAAGCAAGAGTCAGGGAGTGAAGCAACCAAGATGGGGACAGAGGCAAAGCCCAGGAAGCCCGGATACTGCCCTGGGCCACCTGGGCTTGGTCCCTGTGGGGCTCCTCCAAGGACAGGAGCGTGGGCCAGCATTCCTCAAGCTCCCACTCCTCCACTGGCCTTTGTTGGGGTTTTCTATATGCTGAGGCATGAGCCCAGGACCTCTTGCATTCCAGGCAAGCATGCTAGCACTGAGCTACATGCCAGCCCTTCTCTCCTCCATTGTCTGTCACCCCTGCATGCTGTACATATCTGTGACCTAGAAGGGGTTAGAGAAATCACCTAAGCTACTTCTCTCATCCCAGAGAGGAACATGTGGCCACTAGCAGTTAGAATATGATAAAATTAGGTAGCTAGCCACTGCCCAAAGCCTAACTGAAATTGAGTCTCAGCTTCCCACAAAGGCAAGTGTGGGTTCTCAGGGAAGCCAGCAGCTATGACAGTAGCCTTTGCTGGACTCCCAGTACAGCAAACACTGGTTATCTGTACCTCATCCCCTCCAGTCACTTCTGGTGTGGGCTGAAGCAGTGGTGGACAGATCTGGGCTTTCTGATGCTACCATTCTTCAAGTGCCCATCGTGCATCTCCCCACATTCTGCCTCAAGATTTATGTGGCCCAAACTAGCTCAGTGTTGAACCCATATGATCTTGGTATTTACTGGTTTTTGTTTTGTTTTTGGTACCAGGAATTAAGCTCACAACCTCACACTTTCTAGGTAGGTGCTGTGCCACTGAGCTATGTCCCTGGTCCTCCAACATAATCTTAAAGAGCTCAGTGACACAGCACCTGCCTGGCAAAGTCCTGAAGTCAATTCCTAGTACCAAAAAAAAAGGTTAAAAAAACCAAAATTTCATGGTATAATATTTACTGTCACTATATGAATCCACTCTGATTTTTTAAAATGTATTTAGTACAGGATCTACAGAGTCTCACTGTACAGATTGGACTGAATGATCCTACTGTTTTCAGCCTCCCAAGCACTGGGATGACAGGCATGCACCACCACGCCCAGATCTGATTTATTTTTTCTTCTCAATTCTTTGTTTGGAGTTGGTTTTTGTTTTTTTGAGAGAGGATCTCAACATATACAGTTCAAGGTGGCTTCCAACTTGCTATGTAACCCAGGCTCAACTTGAATTCATGACCTTCTGCCATAGTTTCCCAAGTGCTGGAATTACAGGCTTGTGCCACACTATACTTGAGTTGTTCTCACTTCTAACTAAAACAAAGCAGTGATCCTGGGAACCCAGCAGATGGACTGGTAACGCAGTCCATGAGTAGTGACAAGTAGTGACAGTGACAGTCGACATGCTGCCTACGTGCTGTCTGTATGCTAAGGAGAATGGAGTCCTGCGGAGCCTGCCTGTCTCCCACCCCCGGGGGCACAGAACCCTGCTTCTTTTCATATACCACATAGCACTTCAACGAAGCACCTTCCTGGGCACTGCATTTGACTCCACCCGGGTACTCTGGCAGGTGCACCTATGACTCCTGTTTCCTGGGGAAGAAACCAAAGTTTCAGAGGACACAACTTGCTCCGTCTCAGTTGCAGTCGTTAGTGAAGCTGCAACTCTCACCCAGATCCGGCTTGTCCCAGAGCTCCTGCCACTGGCAAATCCCAAAGCTAAGCCTGGGCTTTGCACAAACCATCAGCAAGACCCTATCTCAGAGGCAGCCAGTTTCTCCAGTATGGCTCTGAGCCCATCTGGGGGCAATGGACCTTTATTAAACACTACAAAAAAGAATATGGCACGGCCCTCGCCTTCCCCCAAGAAAGCTGCAAGTGGCTGGCAGCTGTAGAGCTATGTAGAACTGAATACAGGACAGGTCATGACGTGTGCTTTGACAAAGATGCCCACAGGTGCCCTGGGAACATGCAGAGGAAAAACCCAGGTGGGCTGCATGAAGGAAGCCACACTTGAGCTGTATTCCCAAGGACATACAGGATGTCAAAAAGAAAGGAGAGAAGGGAGACAGCATTGCAGACCAAGGGGATTACCTAAGCAGAGACTGGAGGACATGAAATCAATTACACAATAGGGTCTACATCTTGTCCTTTACAGACAGAGCAGCCCAATCATGAAGCCCTGTGGATGTTGTGAAAGTTTGGGAGCCATTTGAGTGATGGCCCAGGGCCTGAGCAGGCTCTGCTACCAGATCTTGCATCCCTTTTGCGCCTGAAGACTCCCATCTCTTGCCCTATCCTAGGATCCTGGGCAGGGAGCCCTTCACCTATTATAGGTCTACAGGACTTGACTCGGGTCTCTTCCTGGCTCCACAGGGGACTGTGTCATCCAGAACGCATCCAACAGTGGAGTAGGGCAAGCAGTCATCCAGATCGCCGCAGCCCTGGGCCTGAGGACCGTCAATGTGGTCCGAGACAGGTGCGTGGGGAGGCCTAATCCCAGACTGCCACTGGGGCCTTTCCACCTCGCATCCTGCGGATGGCCCTGAGTCCACCAGGTGGCGCCCTTGCATAAGCACAGGTGGCCTCCTTTCCAGTTGGCTAAGAGTTGGCCGCTGAAGCAGATGAATCAGCCCAGAGAAATGAAGTCCAAGTGGTTTTAAACTACAGGATGAGTGAATTTCTGAAATGTAGAGTTGGCAGGAAGGGAATGGAGACTGTTCTTGCTGAACGGCCCACAAACCTGTGCTCTTTTTTCTGAGAGCTGTCTAGCCCAAGATCCTTGTGTGCTAGTGTTTGTGTGCAAAATACAGACATGAATAAGATAGGGTCTCTCTCCTTTATTTACTTAAACTGAAGTTTCAGAGACAGGAAGCCACTTGCCCAGGAGCCCCAGCAAGCCAGTAACAGCCTGATTCTCCTGCCACGGAATCATGGCGCTCCATTAAGCCTTTTGAGTGTGGCTGTATCTGTCGTAAGGGTCCAGTCTTAGGAGGAGAATTGATTCTCGCTTCATTTTCCTTCCCCTGCTCAATTGTGCTAACAAAAAAATTATTGTTTGCCTTGACCAAAGAGGCCTGGACCACTCCTGGGGTAGAGTGTGTTCGCCTAATGCCCCCGAGAGGCCCCTGAAAAGAGGGGAGGAAGACGTGCAGTTTGTTATTTCTCAGTAAAAGAAATAGGAAGCAAAATGGCTTCTCCATGGGCACAGAAAGCTCCTAGCCTGCTCTGTCCAGTGAGAATGAGGCCCATGGCACGAGGGCAGGAACTATGGGAACAGGATTCGGTTATATGGCTGGCCCTGGCACACCCCTGGCCCAGCCTGCTAAAAATGAAACATGGATTCTCACAGCTGCGGCAGATGGGTCCCAGGAGCTTTGGACAGAGAGAGCCACCAGGTGTGACAAGGGACCTTGCATTGCCTTTGGTTTCCAGACCTGACATCCAGGAGCTGACTAACAGACTGAAGGATCTGGGTGCTGAGCATGTCATCACAGAGGAAGAACTGAGAAAGCCTGAAACGAAAAACCTCTTCAAGGTACCCCGAGGAGGGCACTGCCCCTCCACGCCATGCTCATCTCCCCAAGAAAGCTGACTTGAATTAGAAAAGCCAGGGACAGACCCCATTTCTCTGTGAACCTCCACCACTTCTTTTGGTTTGATTTTTGAGACAGGGTATTCTTTTGTCGTTCAGTCTGGCCTTAAACTCACAGCAATCCTCCTGCCTCAGCTTCCCAAGAGCCACCACACCCATATCCTTCACATGTTTCTGGAAGGATAAATAAAGCCAGTTCCCCGCTGCTAGGGCACAGACTACATTAAGTATTCTGATGCCATGAGAAGTGGTAGGAGAAACAAAGATCAGGAAAGCCTGTGTGATTGATTTGAAGTTTGAAACATTTGTGGCAGGCCCCATCAGCCCACACAATGAGTGTGAATTTTAGGGCTGGAGGGGCGCCTAAGTCTCTGCCTCACATTTTACCTGATAATCCCCAGGACAGCCATACAATGTAGTCATTACCAGTTTTATAGACAAGCACAGACGCAGCAAAGATGAGGGACTTGGCCAGGACCACATAGTGGTGAGTGGTATAGTCAGGGCTGGCCCTGGGTTTCTCTGCACTGAAAGCCCTGGCCCTGCCAAAACATCTGCCCTTCAGCACAGCCTGTAAGAAAGGAAGCCTGGCCCCACCTCTTGTCACTGAACCATCTGGAAAGAGAAAACCCACACACCCACTCAAAAACATTCCCCTCTGGGCCAGTGAGCTAGCTCAGTGGTCTAAAGTGGTTGCTTAGGCAAGCTTAGACAAGCGCAGGGACCGAGGTTTAATCCCCAGCACTACACAAAAAAGAAACAGTCCCCTCCACAGAGCACTTCTGAAGCAGTATATCAGCACACTGCCTATAAACTGAGCCTTAGCTGCAGATGTCCCTCAAACCTGCATCGAGGGCTGGAGAGATGGCTCAGTGGTCTAAAGCACCTACTTGGAACAAGCTTGGCAAAGCACAGGGACCGCGGTTCAATCCTCCAGCACCACATGCCAGCCAGCCCCGCCCCCTGGTGGGCTGAGCTGGCCCCACACACACCACACACACACACACACACTAAATAAATGTTAAAAAAAATAAAAAAAATAAAAACCTGCATCCACATGCGCTGTGTGATCCCTGAGGAGGAGTGCTCCGAACCACCAGAGCTTCAGAGTGGTTCGGAGCACTCTGAAATGGACCACAGGATGAAGTCACTGAAGTCCTTTCCTAGGCAGAGAAAAAGCAAGTCCAGAGCATAAACACCCCTTCTCCTTCACTCATTCCTGTGACACAGCTCGGGTAGGGAAGCCTGGTGTGGAGCAAGCTTGGAGCCTGTGCTCTGGCTGCCTCTTCACTGCAGTTCCTTCTTTTCCAGCACATGCCTCAGCCACGGCTTGCTCTCAACTGTGTTGGCGGGAAAAGCTCCACTGAGCTGCTTCGGCACTTAGCGTAAGTCCCTGGGCCCTGCAGGGCGGGTGTGGTGCTCTCCGGTTGCTAGCTGGGAGGACTTTCCAGTGAGCAAGTCCCTGAGGCCGGGTTAGCAGAGCTAGTAGGAAACAAGGAATGAATCATCCCGCCCAAGCACTTCTTTCTCAGCCTCTTCCTCAGGACGCAGGCTTCCGTCTTCCCAGGAGACAGCTGAGCCCTGCACAAGGGATTGGTCAAGGTCTCCTAACCTAGGAACCGCTTCAAGAGTCACTTAGTCCAAACTTACTAGCTTTTTAATGGCTAGCATTCATGGCTTTGAAAACTGCATTCTAATTTTAAAGCAACCTTACAGCCTATTGCACAACATTTTGAAAGCATGTAAAAATACAAAGAAAAAGTAAACACAGAAGTTGCTGGTCTTCCCCACCCAAGCACTGTTGACAGCATTAACTCTGCATGTGTCTTAGTTACTTTTTTTACTCATTGCTGGGACAAATACCCGACACTCCAAATGAAGGAAGGAAAGGTTTATTTAGTGCACAGTTACTGGAGGGTTCAATCCATATTCCGCTGGCTCCAAGGCAAAGGACATCAGTTCATGCGGCAGAAAACAATGCAGAGCAGAGGAGGAGCAGCAGCTGCGGCGTCCATCAAGCCTCTCTCTTCCTTCTATGTCGACCCGGAAGACCGATGCTCCTCCAAAGACTGGGACTTCACCACGGAAGTGGGGCAGGGTGGCAGGAAGCCTTTCTCAATTCCTGGGCCCTGCCCACCTGCAGGGCGAGGCCCCCCACGCCCGCGAACTGCGGGAGCTGATTCAGCCAAGTTGACACAATGTATCAACACAGCATGCCGTGTTCTTTCTTATGATATAAACTCCTCCAGCTGGAGGACACCTGAAGAAGTGCCTACCAACTACAGCACCAGTCCTGAGCCAGTTACCATGCTGTGAGAACCCAGTACCTACCAGCACAAAGAGGGCCCGGAGCCGCGTGGCCCACAAGTTGCGAGGAGAATCACTAAGGGCTCGCCCCACTTGGGGCCTGCGGGGCTGGACCTTCCCCTCCCGAGGCCCCTAGGTGAGGGCTCATGTTGCGATTTCCTGTTTTGTTATGTTGTTTTCCTTTTGATGCTCAAGGTGGAAGCCAGGGCCGTAGGCACACGGAGCACTTGCATTATCACTGAACTACACCCCAATCTACTTTATTCTTAAAGCAAGCCCCACGATGCCCAAGATGTAGTCACCAAGACAGCCCCTTTTGAACCCAACTTTGCATGACTCCAGTGCATGACTTTGCATGACTTCAGTTCTATACCCAGCAGCCCCTGAGGAAGACTGAGCCCTGTCACCCATCACCAGTGGTCTGAAGTGTAGGCGTTGGATTCAGAACAATAGCCACAGACCTGTAAAAAGTTAGGCAATATGCGAAAAAGCAATCCAGACCTCAGCCCATTCATTTATTAAATGGGAATGACAGAAACCCTTTCTTCCCCGAGAGGTTACTCTGGGACAAACAAGAGAGGGACTTGAGCTTTCTCACCTGAACTAAGTATCAGTGCTCCCTTGGAGACTATGTGGACCTGCTACATCACTGACACCCCCTAAAAGCCAGCTCTTGTGATTGGAACAAGCGCAGTGGGGAGACGAGGAAAGAGGGTACTATTCCTCCAGGAACTGCTTTCTAGAGCAAACACCAGCTAGGGGAACATAAGACCAAATGAGGGGGCTGGTGAGATGGCTCAGTGGTCTAAAGCACCTACTTACAACAAGCTAAGCCAAGCAAAGCACAGGGACCGTGGTTCAATCCCCCAGCACCACATGCCAGCCAGCCCCGCCCGCTGGCGGGCTGAGCTGGCCACACATACACACAAAATAAATAAATAAATAAATAAATAAATAAATAAATAAAATTAGGAAAAAAAAAGTGTTAAAAAAAAAAGACCAAATGAGGAGCTGGGGATGCATCTCAGTGGTAGAGAACATGCCTAATCTGTGTGAGGCTCTGTTCAGTCCTCATTACCACACACACATACACCAAACAAGCCCAGCCCTTCTGTGCCAGTTACCAGCCTCCCACAGCAGTGTCTCCCATTTCATGGTCTACAGTCTCCCCTGTGTCATCCTAAAATGTGCCTCAGGTCACCCTTGAGCAAAAGCTTCTCAGAGAACCAGGGAGTGGGGAGAAGAGCAAAGGTTAAGTCAAACTCTTATACTCCTAACCTATTAGCTTTTAAAAATTTCATTAGCATGATCCAAATTAAATCTCTCCTTTAAAAAAATGCATTGGCCTTGCTTCTGTTTGCCTAGGTGGGTACATAGGCATGACAGCCACCACTAACTACACAGTCGTACCGCCTGCCAGTAGAGAGCGCTCATCACAGGCTGCCACACGATGTGCTGTGCTCGTTTTTTTGTAATTATTACACCTCCCTGATCTCTAGTGTATTTGCAGATGAAACAAGGTCAGGACCACTTTTTTTTTTTTTTTTTTTCATTGCTCATAGTTGTACTCCTTTAACGAGAGTAGAGCAGGGCCAGCCATGGTGGTACACTGTAATCCCAGCACTGGGGAGGCTGAGGCAGGAGGATCCTTGCGAGTTTGAGACCAGCCCGAACTGCATAGTGAGACTCTGTCTCAAAAAGCCAAAAAAAAAAGAGGGGGGTGGTGGCCAGATAGCTCAGCAGATTAAAGCACCTGCTTAGGCAGATGTAGGGACCAGGGTGCAATCCCCTGCCTGAGGGAATCGAGACTGGGTATGGTGGTGTGCACCTATATTCCCAGCGCTTGGGAGGCTGTAAACAGGAGGATCACCATGAGTCAGATCTATGTCTTGAGACCCTGAGACCTAAATACTAAATACATTAAAAATACATTAAATACTAAAATACATTAAAAAATAAATAAAAAAGGAGTGGAGCTGGATTGGACTCCAGCTCTGAGCTCTATTCTGTGGAGTTTGCTGGTATTTAGCACTCAGCCAAAACCTAACCAAGTAGACTGGACTAGTGGATTTCCAGCCCAGGCTAAGCAGCCTGGTCATCTAGGTGGAGTGTGTGTATATTTGTTTTGTTTCATGTGTGGTACTAGGGGTCAAAACCAGAGCCCCAGCCTTTGTTTTTTTTTTTTTTTTTTTTAATTTTTTATTATTTATTTATTTATTGAAATAGGGTCTCACTAAGTCTCTACCTGGCCTTAGTGTGGCAGCCCTCCTGCCTCAGCCTCCTATGTACACAAGAATTGCAGACATTCACCACTGTAAGCAGAACATGTTGTTTTTATATTAAAAAAAAAAATTGGGGGGGTACCAGGAGTTTAACTCAGGGTCTGGTACTCACCAAACAAGTACTGCACTGCTGAGCTACATGCCCAGCTAATATAAATTCTTAATTCTTTGATCTATTTATTTATTTATTTTACTTTTTGAGGCAGGGTCATGCTATGTAGTTTAGGCTAACCTTGAACTCACTATATAGTCCAGGCTGGCCTTGAACTGGCAACCCTCCTGCCTCAGCCTCCCAAGTGCTAAGGTTACAAGCATGTGTCATCACACCCAGCTGCTTAAGTCCCAGTCAGGCCTGAGAATCTGTGTATTTGAGCCCTTTCCAGGGACTCTGAGAGCAATGTTTATAAGTGACAGTCAAAATAAAAAATGCCATGGTGAGCTCAAGTGGGCCCCATCCCTGCCTGCACCCACTCTTTTCTCTCTTGATCCTTCAGGCCTGGAGGGACCATGGTGACATATGGCGGAATGGCCAAGCAGCCTGTCACAGCATCTGTGGTAAGCTGGGGCTTTGAGCCCCGTAGACCAGGGCCAGGTGCTCCTCTCCTGACAGTACTGTTGTCTAAACTCAGCCCTGTCCCTGGGAGGAATCTACTAGAGTACCTGAAGCTCTCTCCCTCAGTGCCCTAACCTGTCCCTCCTGTGTCCACAGAGCCTGCTCATTTTTAAGGACCTCAGACTTCGAGGCTTTTGGTTGTCCCAGTGGAAGAAGAACCACAGTCCAGGTGAGCGGATGATGGCCCCGATGCCCAGGGTCACAGAAGAGGGCAATGCCTAGCATGGCTGTAGCAGTGGCCAGCTGCCAAAACCCTGCAGAGACAGGTGGGTCCCCAACCTTGCGACAGGATGAAGGAGAACAGCTTCTAGCCACAGCTGCAGCCAACAAATCATCCTGGGGCTGGACCGGGCCAGTGCTTAGGGCAGAGTATCAAGTACAATAGACACAGCCTTCAGCCAGTGGGACGACTGCCAAGGAAAGACAGTGGGCCAAGCACAGTGACCCAGCCTGCTCTTGCCACCATCAGGTCAGGGCTCTGCCTGGGCTCGCTGTGGGACCTGGGGCGAGTTTCTCAACCCCTGCCTCTGTGTAAGCCTGGTAATAGTTAAGTGCTTGCACACCTTGTTTGACAGAGAAGGAAACTGTTCAGAGTGAGCGAGTAGCCTGCCCAAAGTCACCGCACCCCTCTGGGGTGGTGCGGCCAGGATGTGAGCAGATGGCCACTCTCTCCAAAACCTGAGCCAGTACACAGTTGGAGGCCTGGCTTCCCAGAGCCTGTGGCCAGGCTGAGAAGGACGAATGACATGGAGTTGTCCTGGTGGTGGCATGAATAGAGTGTTTCAGGGAGAAAAGCAACACATGCAAAAAATCCCATCACAAGGAGCAAGCGTAACTCACAGCACCGCAGTGGTTCCAGCCACGGGAGCCATAGGTCTGAGCTGGGGCTGGGAAGCTAGACATCCGGGATCAGGCCACATTGGAAGGTCTTGTAGGCCATCCCAAGATGTTCAGATTGTCCTGAAGCCAGCTAGCGAGCCACTGAGGTTTTTTTAAATGGGAGGGAGGATTAGATTTGAAAGCAGAGTGAATTTATGTCTGTGAGAACACACTTCTCAGTCAAGGCCCTCACTTCCCATCTTCTGTTCCTCGCCAGGTTCTCAGTGGGAGGCCAGCCCTGGGGAGGATGGCGGCAGCCTCAGGTCCAAGCTCTGAGGATCCTGGGGTCTGGGAGAGCTCTGTCTCCCAGTGACACTCCCCTGTTCTACATCCCCTGGCATCCAGGACCCCTTACCTGGGTCTCCTGTGGCTTCCCTGCCACAGTAATTCTGCCCTTCCTGCCACACACTGCTAGATCATGATGGTGTGGGTCAAAGCCATCCTAGCCACCACTTTGGATGGGTGGGCTGTGTGTGTCCAGCGGCACTCAGGCCACTCCCCATGCTCTTCTGGCTCCCACTGCCCTGAGTGGAGACCAGGTTGCCTCCACCACCACCCTTCCTTGGCAAAGCCAGGGCTCCGAAGACTGTACTAGAGCTCAGTGCCACTCCTGCCTACAGGGCAACCCAGATGCCATCTCACCAAGCCCTAGCTGTTGCTTCCCATCTGATTTCCTCCCACTCCCCACAGATGAGTTCAAGAGTCTGCTGCTCACACTGTGCAACTTCATCCACCAAGGCCAGCTCACGGCACCCACCTGCACAGAGGTCCCCCTACAGGACTATCAACAGGCCTTGGGAGCCTCCATGGAGCCCTTCGTGTCTTCAAAGCAGATTCTCACCATGTGATCATCCCAGAAGAGCCAGAGCAGAGCAGGAGGGGACAAGGCCGCGGGGGACAGCCCTCTGCAGACTGCTCTCTGCTCACTGCTGAGAGGCCAGCCTTTTAAATAAAGTCTGAACTTCCTTTAAAAAAAAAAACAATTTAAGTCACCCCTGAGAAGAAGGGGTATCTGTGCACCTGCCAGCTCACAGCACCAAGAAGCTCCCTGCTTCTCCGTCATCTGGTCTCTAGGACCATTTCCTCATCACCCTGAGAGCAAAGCAAGGTTGGGCACTGGCAAGTGCAAAAGCCAGCCAGCATCTCTGCCCTCAAAGAATCCACACTGGGCTGGTGAGATGGCTCAGTGGTCTAAAGCACCTACTTAGAACAAGCTAAGCTAAGCAAAGCACAGGGCCCGTGGTTCAATCCCCCAGCACCACATGCCAGCCAGCCCCGCCCCCTGGTGGGCTGAGCTGGCCACACACACAATTAATTAATTAATTAATTTTTTAAAAAAAATCCACAGCTACAGAGGAGAAACTTGGAGGAAGGAGTGTCAGGTCAGGCATGGTGGGGCAGGCCTATAAGGCCAGCACTCTGGAGGCTGAGGCAGGAGGATCCCCTGTAGTTTCGCCCATGCTATAAAGTGAGCTCAAGGCCAGAACTAAATAGTAAAACGCTAAGAAAAAAAAACCAAAAGAAAGAGACAGGAAAAATAAAGGCAAAGCAAAGACTCAAGGGGGAGGCTGTGGGAGCACACCAAGGCCTAGGGTAAGGAGGCTTTCCACAGGAGGCACTAACACCATGTGGGCTGAAAAATGAGGTTTCAGGCAAGGATAAAGGTAGGACTTCATGTGACTCTGGCGTCTGCCTCGTGATCCACTGGCCCAAAGCAAAGGACAGACTGTGGAATAGCTCGTTTGTCACCTGGCCGTCTGTTCCCTTAACTTACGAGTTTTATTCAGGGAGCCTTTACTGGGGCCTGTTGCATGCTGGAAGGTACCACAGGGCTGCCTTCAGGTTGCCTAGCCGTAGCCCAAGAGACGGGCCATTGCAGTATAAGGACGAAACTCATGGGCTGGTGAGATGGTTCAGTGGTCTAAAGCACCTACTTAGAACAAGCTTAGCAAAGCACAGGGATCGGGGCTGGTGAGATGGCTCAGTGGTCTAAAGCACCTACTTAGAACAAGCTAAGCTAAGCAAAACACGGACCGCGTTTCAATCCCCCAGCACCACATGCCAGCCAGCCCCGCCCCCTGGTGGGCTGAGCAGGCCACACAAAATGAATGAATGAATAAATAAATAAATAATTCTAAAAAAAAAAGCACAGGGACCGCGGGTTCAATCCCCCAGCACCACATGCCAGCCAGCCTCGCCCCCCGCCCCCCCCCCGTGGGCTGAGCTAGCCACACACACACACACACACACACACGTATATAAATATTTTTTTAAAAAAAGGACAAGACTCCTGGTTGGGCAAGGGGGGCCAGGAGAGCCAGTTCTGCCTGAGAGTGTTAAGGGAGGATGTCTGAAGGATACAGCCATCTAAATCGGTTGTGTGTGTGTGTGTGTGTGTGTGTGTGTGTGTGTGTGTGTGTGACAGAGAGAGAAAGAGGGTGTGTCAGTTTCAGAGAGAGTATGTGTCTGTCTCATTATTTGGTCCAGGATGATCTCAAACTTGAAACCTCCTGCCTCAGCCTCCTGAATGCTGAGATTACAGATGCACACCAACACACCTAGCCATCCACAGAAAGCCTGCAGCCCAAGAAGAAAAACATACTAAGCAAAACCAGCAGTACCTATGACAGTTTTGGTTTTGGGTTTTTTTTTTAATGTATTTAGTACAGGGTCTCACTACACAGCTCAGACTTGTAGTGATCCTCCTGTTTTCACCCTCCTCAGCACTGGGATTACAGGCATGTGCCATTACACCAGGTCTCAGTGGCTAGCTCAGCACACCCAGGGATGGGGCCAGCGTGGCCTATAGTGCCAGGGATCCAATCCCAATCCCTATCCTTGCCTAAGCAGGCACTTAGTCCGCTGAGCTATCTCACTGGCCCAGTTGGGGTTTTTTAATACAAGATTTCACTGTGTAACCCAGGCTGGTCTCAAACTTGCAGTGAACCTCCCACCTCAGCCTCCTGAGTGCTGTGATTACAGGCAACCTATGACAGTGTGAAGACCCGAGACATCTTAGTACTTGGGGAATTGCACAATCAGATATAGCTGCTGCCGAGGGGGAAGAAGGAGAACTAAGGTATTATTGGGAAGGAGTCATGTCAGGAAGGGCCTGGGGGCCAGCCAAATAGCTCAGTGGATTAAAGCGCCTGCAAGCAGGTGCAGGGGCCAGGGGTTTGATTCCTGGGTCTACTGTGCTGGCCCTGCCTCCAGGGCACACTAAGAGGGCAATTGAGACTGAGCATGGTGGCATGTAAACAGGCAGATCACTATGAGTCTGATCTAGTAGTGAGACCCTGAACACCCTGTAGACCCTTCCCTAAAATACAGGGGAAAAAAAAAAAAAAGGAAGGGCCTGAACTCGGGACTCACCCTGAAGCCTGGGGCAAGCTGGGGTGGGGAGGGCACAGTGGGCTTTTAAGCAGCAGAAATAATGGAAAGGCTTGCTGGAGGATTTAATTTTCTACAAGTGTGCAAGCAGACTCTTGCCTTTGGGGTCACCTGTATAGACTCTAGAGAAGACTCCACTTCAGCCTGGGACTCCAGTTTTGCAGGTGCACTCGGAAACACTGCCACCTTCTCATACGCACGGGCTGTGAATCGGCCCTAACTCCTTGTTCCCCAGCCCATGCTGTATGTTCCTGAGATAGTGATCCTTACAGAGGCTCAGAGTAGGCAAAAGAAAAAGCCCTAGAGGGTGGGGAGGCTGCCCAGAGGCCACAGAGTACAAACAAGTCCACAAATGGGGGGCTTAGGGAGCATGAGGGCCTATGGCCAGGGTGAGGGACACCCCAGGACTAACTGGAGGAGGAAGCAGATGGGAAGGGGGAAGGTTTGTAGCACCATGCCTGGAAACATGGAGGAACATTCAGCATGAGAACAGTTTGGGGCTGGGCCTCAAAGGATGAGTATGCTTTACCCCTTATAAGACAACCGTTACAGACTCAAGAGACCAGGGAATCTTTATCAGAACCCTCTAGTTTTCCCCCAAATACCCATTTTCTTCATTAGAATTAAAACCTAGCCCTTTAATGGTAAGAGAGAGTGAACACCAGGTCTCCCTCCTCCCTTGCAGTCAGCAAGGTCTGCCCTGTGTGATGTAAGCACAGTGTGATGAAGTGTCCAGTGTCAGTTACTTAGGAACTTTAAAATGGAGCTGCCAGGGGCCAGAGAGATGGCTCAGTGGAATAAGTGCTTCCCTCACAACCACAAGGGCTTTAGTTCAATCCCCAGTTCTGCAAAAAGAAAATGGAGCTGCCAGCTGTCCTGGACCATTTTCTTGCCTTCTTGCCTTCCTCCTAGCTGGAAAACACATGTGGTTCCTAGGGTGTGCAGTCATCTTTGGCCAAGTTCAGAATGGGACAGCAGCGAAGTCAAAGGTGCCTGGGGACATGACACCAACTGTGTCTACTTGGGTCTCTCCTATTTGGCGTCCAGTTGGGCCTACTCCTACAAGATACCACTTGGTGATTTAACTTCCTTGAAGTCAAGCCAACCAATCTGAAGCTGCAAAGGGACTATGGCAGGCTGTGATTCCTTGCTAAGGAATTTAAATCTTGTCCTAAACACGGGAAGGGACCAAAGACTTATGAACCAGAATGGCACTTTGGAAAAAAATCTGTCTGGTAGCAGACTGGGGAACCGTTTGAAAGAGGGAGATTCTAAGGAAAGATAAAATTCAACTTGCAGGCTTCATCATTTCAGACAAGCAAACCTGCCTTACTCTCACCACTCAGTAGCCAAGTTTTGAAGACCAACCAATGGTTGCCAACATTTAAGAGACTAACAGGAAAGGAAACAAAAAACACTGTCAGAAGGGAATCTGACTAAAAATGGATCATCTCTTCTATACAAGGGCAGTAGATTGTTTCTCATTTCCAGAACAAGTAGTCTCTGTGGAGTTAGTCTAGCTCTTCCGGCCCACTGAGTAAACAACCCTTTTGGTAAATGGCTAAAGGAGGGAATCCTTGACTCCAGAGCCTGAAGACAAACACGCACTCCCTCCTAGGGCAAAGCCTGAGCCCCCTTGGAGCCCTGAGGCTGCCTGCTGCCCTCTCCGAGCCTTCTCCTGGGAGCAGCCATCCTGCCACTACCACAGCAACTGCCACTACCACAGTGTTGATGAGTGACTGCATCTTGGGAGATGAGATGATTAAGCCTGCTTTCCTCAGGGGAGGATTGAAGCCCAGAAGAAAGGTATTACAGGAACCTGTGTCTGGTTCCAGGCATAGCTGTCCTGGTGCCTGGATGCAATCAGCAGCACCCACGGCTATTTTTTTTTTTTTAATTATTTATTTATTTATTTATTTATTTGTGTGTGTGTGTGTGTGTGTGTGTGTGGCCAGCTCAGCCCACCAGGGGGCGGCGTTAGCTGGCATGTGGTGCTGGGGGATTGAACTGTGGTCCTTGTGCTTTGCTAAACTTGTTCTAAGTAGGTGCTTTAGACCACTGAGCCATCCCTCCAGCCCCAAAATTTTTTTTCGATTTATCTTTTTTTTTGGCGGAACCAGGGATTGAACTCAGGCCCTTGTTCTTGGCAAGCAAGCGCTTATTCTACTGAGCTATCTCTCTGGCCACCCACGGCTATTGTGGCTAAGGCTCTGGGCCTGGCCAGAGTGGCTGCCAGTGTTGAAGACGTCAGGCATAGAATCTCCCTGCATCTGAAGACCGGAAAATCGGAGGGAAGTGTCTTAGTTACTTTTTACTCGTTGCTGGGACAAATACCAAACACTCCAAATGAGGGAAGGAAATTTAGCTCAGTTACTGGAGGGCTCAGCCCATACTCTGCTGGCTCCAAGGCAAATGACAGTTCACTGAGAGAAAACTAGAGCTGAGGAGGAGCAGCAGCTGCAGCGTCCATCAAGCCTCTCTCTTCCTTCTATGCTGACTGCCAAGACTGGCGCTCCACAGTGAAGATCGCAGCTC